CAAAGGCGGCAGTCTCTATCCTTCATCGCTGTCGGACAACATAGCTAGTCAGTGGTATACAGATGACTGTCTCTGTTTTTGTTCCAATTGAAAAGTTCGTACTGCTTTCCCTTTGCAACCCCCCCCTACTCGCGCTTAGGAGAGAGTCCTAACAAATTGTCAGTACTTATGCAACCTAGGGCAGAATGATGTAAGGGGTGAAGGGACGAGAGCGGCTGAGAGATAGGTACTGTCCAGCCATCATTAGGCAAGTGTACTCAGCCGGATACGAGGTTAAAATAGGCAGGCGTATGACAATACCCCATACCACCCCATGAAGTCGATGCCCACGAGACTGGAGATTGGGTTATGGCATTGGACAATGGTTCGAACACAAGGCGTGCGTGCGTGCCGTTCGTCACAAAAATTAAGGCTCTTCTAGCAACTGCCTAGCTGAAGCTAACCGAACGGTTCAATAGCGCCGTATAATATCGAAGTATTCAAGGGTTGAAGGAGAGAAAGCATCGAAATGACTTACCACCAACAACCCGTACTGCCTGCATCATGATCCTCGGGCCCGAACCTGTCGTCAGTCTTATTCCTTCCAGTGGCTGAATGGAGAGCCTTAACGCCAAACCGGCAGAGAATGTAGGACACAACTAGATGGCCTCTTCTCAAGCTCAGCCGCACGTGTGTCCGTGCGTGGTCTGCTTAACGATAGTAGAGAGAATTAACGCCGCCGGGGCTTTCCACCATCCAATGCTTCTTATTTTTTCTTTTCTTTTTTTCTCCTCTCAAAGTTAGGAAGGTACATCGTCGTGACGGAAACCCGCAGACTTGGTCCGTTGTAACGCAACAGCACGTATGTTTGAGATTGAGGCAACACAACGTCCACCTTTCTGGTGGACAAGCGCTGCATGTCTAATGACAAGAGGGGGGATCGTCTCAGACACTCTGTTCTCCCCCAATTCCTCATGCCTTCCATGAATCTTCCTTGCTTCCGTTTGATCAGCCCCCCGCCCAGGTTTCGGGCTTCGGCGCAAGATGATGTTGGATCGGATGTCCCATGTTGCGTGTTTTTGGACTTGGCTTCTCTTCAGCAATACTGTGTACCAAGAGTGAATGATGATGATGGAAGATTACACCCCTTCCGCGCGGGAGTGCGACCGCCCGGCCGACCTCACCTCGCAAGGCAGAGGAAAAGGCCGAAGAAGGGGGGGGGTCGATATACCTGACCTGACCTAGCCCGACCGTGCTGACGACCCAAAACTGAGGCCCGCGCCGTGACAATGGGACAATGGGCACGTACCTTGTTTATAAAATGAGGTGGGAAGAACGCGGAATCATTCCCAACCAACCGGATCCTCATTGCTGCCCAATCGCCTTGCTTGCTAGGTCGCCTTGTGTGTGTGAATTTCGATGCTTTCTCTCCGTTTCTTTTCTTTTTCTTTTACGTCCTTTGTTGTGCCTTCCTTCCTCAATGTTGGATATTTGTGTGCGTGTAAGTGTGTCTCAATCCCTTCGTCCCTTCTCTAGTGTAAGTAAGTACTCTGTCTTACGAAGGAAGGAAGGAGGAACCAACCAACCAACGAACCCACCAGTAAAAACCCCTCCCACTCAGATCAATGAAAACGTGTGGACTGGTCACGCCACCTTTTTCTGCGGTCCTCTCAGCCCTTTCTTTTCCAAGTTCAATGGCTTCAGTTCGCAAGGACCGTCACAGGTTCCAGGTTCCTGTTAGAAAACCCAAGGCAGACAGACACAGACACAGACACAGACACAGACACAGACACAGACACAGACACAGACAGAGAACCATTGGTGATTCAGTTACCACACCATCACTTCGCGATCGCGATCTCAGGCACTCTCGTGTTAATGGCAAACCCCCCGTTCTCTTTCATTTGGCTAGCGGTCCCAGTTCCTTCCCTCTTCAATACCAAGAACCTGTACCTTACACCTAGGTACTACCTACAACCAAGTTACCAATGAGTGATGCATTGTACCTTGCGTTCCTTGCGTTTGCGCTTCACGGCACAGCACAAAAAGGCACCATGAACACAAGGCTGCTAGAGGTAGGTACCATGGAAGTCATTTGTAATCATTGCGCGTGCGCGTGTGGTGCAGTGAGGTTTCGGTCTTCAATCTCTATAAAATAATTGTTCGTTATCTCTGGTGTATGTACGTACCGTCCGACTCAATCGAGGTGCGTGTTATTCACACCATGAAGACGGTTATCAAACAATACCGAGGAGTCGATCAACCCCGGATTTTCCGTGCGCGCATCTTTTGCATCTGCAAATAAAGTTGATGAGTGTCACAACCAAAGACAAGAAGTAGCCCGCGCGGTAAATGTATAGGTAGATGGAAGAGGGAGGTACCTAGGTATGTAGTGTACATAAAAACTGCCGCAGGCTGGTTGGTACCACCGAAGCCGAACCGAAGTCTTTTGTTTACTTCTTTTCCATCATCCATCCATCATCGTAACTGGCTGCAGTCTAACTAGGTACCTAACTGACGTTGAAGTATGGCTCCTTGCATTGGCGTTGCATGGCATGGCTGCTGCTTTTCTTTTTTGGCATCCGCTCTCCGCTTCGCATCTGCCTGCATTGTGCAAGTGTGTGGGAGTGGGAGTGTGGGTGTGGGATTGTGAATATCGAACCTGCGCAAATGCGCGAGAGCGACTGCGGCCGTGTGATGACGGCACTAAACCTTCAAGAGCATCCAGGGGTTAATTAATTGCAGCATGGCTAGCAAGGGGGGCGGCCGTTGGAGCGTGGGTGCCATTGATACCTGAATGGATGGTTGGAATTGGATCTTGTTTTGCTGTTGTTAGTTGCTGGCAGACACCAGAGCAGAAAGGTACCGTGAATGGGTGAGATAAGTGAAGATGGTGGGATGGGGTCGGATGTTATTGGTTAGAGGAAGGTGTGGAAGAGGGATGTACATTTTTTTCCACTTACAAGAGGAAGGTTGAGACTACCAATTGTACTAACCAACCTGCCGTCTCTGCTACCTATGCTGTCTTAACCACTGCGCAAGGGAGTAGTCCTAGGCAATAGAAATGTCCATGGTAAATGCGGAATGGAGACTAAAAGACAAACAGTTGTGTAGGAAGTGTTCCAATCGAAAGCGAAGACCGGGTTGAGATCGAGAGAGAAGTAACATAGAAAGAAGATGAAGGTAATGAATGGTGTGGCGTGACATTCATCCACCCACAAACATGAACAACCTAACCAACCAAAACAACCCAACCGGGTCAAACCATTGATTCTTCCGGCTTGGATCTTCCTTCGCTTGAAGGTGTTCCAGCACCCGTGACTGTTTGGTGAAGTAAGGGTCAGCGATGGAAAGCCTGTTTCCTGGTGTTTCTTCTACCCACCCTCCTTCTGTTCTCTGATAGAACAACAGTCAGTTTCGGATGTCAAAGAGAGGGCTGACTGGTACTCTGAGAATACCGAAGTACCTAGCCCATCTGTTGTCTTGGTCCTGCGCCATCTCTTTATCTATCCATCTACCCATGACGACTGGCGTAGCACCTTGTGCTGCGAAAAAAAAAAAGACTTGCGTGAGGGGGGAAAGTTGGGTATAAAGAGGTCTCAGACGGTGGCTGGTGGTGCTTCTTGTACTACGATTGGTGGATTAGATTCGTTCGTATAGCTAGCGGCACTTGAGATTCGACTGAGGAAACAGGTCATGCCTGGGCTTCAAACGCGTTTGAATGTTTCGCTATGTATGAACTTCGCTAACTAGCTACAAGATTGATCGTAGGAAACATTTGTTGATTCGCTTCAATGAATGTCGGGTATAGACGTTTTGTTTTTCCTCCTTCCTCTGGCAGTGGCCAGCCAGTTTCCGCGTCAATGTATGTTGTGTGTGTCTAAGTCTGCATATGTTGTAACTCGTAAAGCGGTTCTTGTGCCGCTGCCACAAACGGCCCTCATCAACATGACGGTCGCGATTTCTCGAGCGATTCCGCAATCAATCCGAGATTCTTCTTCTCCAAGTCATTCATCCTTTTTCATTCATCCAAGGCTCTGCCAGAGTTCATGATGGACAGAAGACCGAAGTTCGTTCATAAAGAGTGTCGTAGATCGTAAGATAATACAAAGGAGAAAGATTGTGTCGTCAGACATGCAAGTCGCAACCGGTAAATCATCCTCGCCTGGTTTCCCGGCAAGTAGATGACCCGTACATGTGTTGCTGTGATATCCCAAATCCGCCGTGAGAACCCCCTGAAATTTTTCGTGAGAAAGAAAATGTATGTCCGAGAGACCGGGCCCAGATCCGCCAAAAAGTCTCGCCCCCAGAAAAGTTCATTGTACAGGTGTAAGAATATTAGAAAGCGAGTATTCCATCGCCCCCCTTGAATTCAAATGTGTGTCCCAAAGAAATCAAGCCCGGGGATCGCCCCTTTTTTCGCCGTGTCCCGCCATGTCCCGCCAGAACCAGCCTTTCGGCAAGGGTTGCGCAGTAGACACCAGAAGATTGCGCCAATATCCAAAACAACAACATATTAATCGTGAGACAAGGAAAAAGTATCGTCAAAACATCAAAGCCAAGAAGAGCCAAAAAAAAAAAAAAAAAAAAAAAAAAAAGCAAAAAAAGCAATGCTCGCCTGCTAAAAGTCGACAGAAATCAAGGAAAAAGTAGGAATGATGAAAACAAAGTAAGAAAGGAGTTTGAGCGTCCCGGGACCAGTGCGGGATCGCGAGGAGTCAAAACAGCTTTGAGTGCGTGAGCAGCAAAGGTCTGAGTGTGTCGCGAGAGCGGAGGAAGTGTATCAAGTGAAAAGCCGAAAGGATGGGAAGCCGGAAAACCCATATAAACCGGTGGAAAAAAAGGAAAGAAAAAAAACCCAAGAAACGCAATCTTAATCGGGTTCGTCATGACTGTGTCGTTCTGTCGTCGTACTGTCGTTTCGAATGCCGTGTAATTGGTACTCGTCAATTCGTCGTCAAAGTTTTTTCGTCTCGTCTCGTCTCATTTTATATCTCATCATGAACCGCATCACATTATGCCTACGCCTCATTACTCGCAGCAACTTGCTGGCTTTCAGCAACCATCTTCGCAAAGTCACGCACAACGTCGCGGGGGATCTTGTCCCATAGGAGTGACCGAGTATAGACCTCGGCAGCAGAGTTCTTGGTGGCAGCAGCACGCATGTTGGCAAGCGCTTCAGCAAGATTGCGTCTGCCCTTGCTCGTGGACCTTTCGGCGGGAGCATTTTGCAGGAAATCTTGCGAGGTGATGCCGTTGTATTGCGCGGCCGTCAACCCAAAGAGCTGCTCGTTGGTCTGTTGCTCGGTCGGCTGGGTCAAGGTGTCAGCCATCTCACCGAGCATCGAAGGTGCCACGCCATCCATGCCGGAGGCGGCAACTGGCAACGATGACCCGGTGTTTTGGGCCCAGCTGGAACCCGATGGCTGAGGAGCCATGGCCTCGAGGCCGGAAGCGGCCTGAGGCAAACCAGCGTCCTTGAGAACATTGTCGAGGAGAGTAGCGGATGCCACCCGGATGTCCTCAGACACCCGCGGAATGCTGGGCGGCGATCGGTTGGAAAGAACGAAAGCGCCGACAAGGAACAGCATGAAGAGGAGTCCGCCCTGAGAAGGAGCCTTTTCGCTCTCGGTAGAAAGGGAAACCTCGGACTTCTTGGTAGAGACGATCTGCATCTCCTGCTTGACCTCGGAAGGCTGCTGGTCCATGGTGAACTCGCCAAAGATGGGCATGTTGTCCCAAGAGCCATCCATAGCCATGCCTTCCATCTCACCGTAGGCACCGGGGAAGCCGGACACGTTCGGGCCGGCCGGCGGTGTCGACGTTGGGGCGCTTTCGAGGTCTTGCACGTGGGTGGTCAGGACATGGATCCTCTTGCGCAGCTCGCCGGTCTCCATGGTGTGCTTGCAGATGATCTCCTCCTTCTCGTTCTTGAGCTCGCTGATGTACGCCTCGTAGCTCTGCTTCTCGCGGAGGAGCTGCTCCATCTCCCTTTGCAGGGCGTTCATCTGCTCCTCCATGTTGGTAATGACCTCGGTAAAGTGCTTCTTCTCGTCCTCAAGACGCTCCGTGTGCTGTTTCTTGCGCTGCCTCGAGTCAAGACTGTTCGGAGGGTCAGTATGGGATGGTCCAATCCGCAAGTAACTTGGGGGGAGGGATACACGTACGCGGCCTGCCTGTTGCGCAACAGACGCTTTTGTTGCTTGAGCTCCTTAATCTCTTGCTCGTCGGTGGACTGGGCAATCAGCTGGTCAATGTTGCTGAGGTTGCGCTCAGCAGGGATGTCGAAGCGTGCATTCTTCTTGCGGATGCCATCGCCCCGGCGCAGCTCGTTGTGAGAGCGGATCAACGGGGTAGTAGGCCTGTTGCGCTTGGCCATAGCAGCCTGGTTCTTGAGCTCCTGGTTGATCCAAGTCTCTCTGGGAGGCGACGCGGGAACGGCCGGGATGCCATGGTGGCCAAGCTGCTGGAACATGACGGCTTGGTTGTTGGGGTTGCTGAAGGGAGTCTGAGCCTGGACGGTAGAGGGCCTGAACAGAGGAACGGTCGATGGCTCGTACTCGGCCTGCGGCAGACCATCGAAGCTCTGAAGAGGGGTAGCGGCGCCCGAGCTCATCATGCCCCAGTGGTTCTGATACCCTGACTGCTGGTTCTGGTCCATCTGCATGAAGGGGTTGTTGTTGTGCTGGCCGAAGAAAGGGTTGTTGGATGGCATCTCTACAGGAGGCCAGGAATCATCCGACTTGGGCGAGAACAGGGCAGTTGCTGAGACAGCAAACGAATCCCTCCTGCTGTCGGTCAAGGGCGGCGACATCTCCAAAGCCGAGTTGAGGGTGCTCTGGTTGAGGATGTCATCGTCTAGGATCTCATCATCGTCGAAGAATTTCTGACCATGGCAGGAAGTGTCGACGTTCAAGGGCGGTGTCCTGTAGTAGGAAGGCTGCTGGAAGGTTGCTGAGCCCATGGTGGGCTTTGTGGATGTGCTTGTTGGTTGGGGATAAACGAAGTGGTTGTTTCCTTGACTTGAAGCACTGCAATGCAAAACACGCAGCGAATCTTTTCTCCTCCTAAAAAGTTGATGTTTGTGTGCGGACTTTCTGATATATGGCTGAGTCAGTGTCTGTGGCTGGGACGGCGAAGCGGTGAGGGCAGAAGCATGGAAAGCGCCCGCTTTATGTGTCTGGGTGGCCAAGGTCTGCGGTGGGAAGCCGGGAAGCAGGGCAAGGTGTGCGGGAAGACCCAGGTTCGGATCCGTCTGTCAGACACCTGAAGGGTTGTGTGTGGGTGGGCTGTGGTTGGGATCAGAGGCAGTTGGTGTTGCCTTCAGTGGGTGTGTGAAGAGGAAAAAGAAGGATAAAAGAGCAATGAAGAACGGGAGTTGCAAAGAGGGGAGGAAGGGACGATGGGATGATATGATGTTGAAAGGATAAGATGGACGGGAAGGTGAGGTGCGCAAGGTAGTTGATAAGAGATCTAGGCTTGGTAGTGGGAAAGAGATGGAAAGCTGGGGTGGGAAGGCAAAGTGGAAGTGGAAGCCGTGGAGGTAGTCGCGATACACCACTATAGTACCAGGCCCCCAGGGTAGCACAGCCCAGGGAGTAGCAAAAGAGGGAAAGTGTGTCTTTTTCCACGGGAAGGAAAGGGCGAGGGTACCGTCGCAGATTGCAACTGAAAAGCCGAAGTGAGGGGGTGTGTAAAATTCTGGAACCTGAGGGATTGGAATGGCACCTTACTCACACTTTGTTCCCTGTGTAAGTCGCACTGCGCTGCCGTCCGTAGAAAGAGGGGTTGTCAGGCCAAGGCCGGGTCGGTTGTCGGTTGTCGGTTGTCGTTGAGGGTTGATTGTTGTTGTTGACAGAATGTGTTGTTGTTGTATTGTGTGTTGTGTGTGTGTGTTAGAGTAAAGACGAGAGTGGTAGTAAAGACGAGAGTGGTGCGTTCTTCGGGAGTCACAGACCACCACGAGAGAAGCGATAAAACAGAAACGAAAGAAGTGAAAGTAAATAGACAAAAAGTCAAGTTTCAAGGCAGGCACAATGGCTGCTTTGGGCAAATAACGATCTTTACAGAGTCAATCAATGACTTTGGGATTGGGATGGTGGGCAGAGCGGGTGGTGCCCTTTACTTATTCTCTGTTTTATGTTTCTTGACTGTGGTCAGTGTGGTCAGCCATGGTCAGGCCGGCCGCTGCGACGTGACGGATCTGCCCAATTGAACATGGCAGAGTCTTGGATCGCAAAAGTCTCGTGGTACATCAGGGTGGATGTGTGGTGGATGTGTGGATAAATCTTGCGGGCTACGGGGGGATGGCGCTGGTTTGCATCTCTTTTGCTCAATGGGGGATGGGGGGAAGAAACAAGAGCGAGGACCTCTTCGCCGAGCAGCGATGGAAGGGGGGGGGGGGGGGGGGGTGTCGGGATGTTCTCCAGAGGAGTGCGACAACAACTGAAGGGAAGAGGGCCGGTAGGGGTTGACGGACCGGGTCTTTGAAAGTACTTGGTAGAACACCCACCCGAAGGACGGACGGAGCCTTGGAGACGGGAGCGTTGGACGAGCAAGACATCGAGAACACGCTGAAGCAGCCAGGCCCCGGGACTTGGCCGCAACTCCAGCCCCAAAGCCCGCAAACTGGATCGAGCGTTTTTGCATTTCCGTTTAACACTCCGTTTTGCCAAGCCTTGTCCAAAAAAGAGAGGATGCTGTGCGGATGCTGTGCGGATTCTCTACGGATGCTGTGCGGATGTGGTGGAGAGATTCTGATACGGGAGCTAGGAGCTTTGCGCGATCTGGATTGACAGGCGGATATGGAGCTTCAAACTGGAAGCTATTCCCAATCAGGACAGCCCATCCCCCAAAACGTAAGGCCTGCCTCGCTAGGGGGGTCGGATTTGGGGATAGCGTACACGGCTTGAGAGCGTAAGGGCAGAAGGGTAACTGTATCATCCGTCACTCAGCAGATCCAATCAGGCTCGTCATCAAAAGGTCTTGGGACGAATCTGAGCCGCTCAACCAGCCCAACGGCTGTAACGGGAAGGATTGGGAGACGGCAAGGGGGTGCAGAATCGGCAAAGAGACCGAGATGGCTTGTCTGTGACTCTGTGAGGAAGTCAGTGAGAGCAAAAACGAGAAATACGGGTGTTTCCCGGACGGAGAAGGGCCCCATCAAAACAGGAAAAACGGGTGGATGAGAAGGTTCCCTCGAGAGTGGGTTGGGCAGAAATGGCCCGGTGGGCATCGATACCCAAAACGCGGCTCAAGACCAGTGACCTGCCAGTCCCCATGCCACCCCCAACTTTTGCCATATGTACACCACCAACAATAGCACCAAATTCTAGGGCTGGGAATGATGGGAACAGCCTGAGTGCCGGCCGGCAGAGACCTGTCAGAAGGCTGTCAAGAGTTCTCCCCAGCAGATGTCTTCATCGTCACTTGATGTCCGCACCGCCGAAAGCAGCCACTTCTCAGTTGTGGATCTCAGCCTCCAAGCCTCTATGGTTTCTTCTCCAAGAGAAGTTAAGCGTGTGGGGTGACGAGCATATGGGAACCAAGGGAGTCTGGGAACTGCAAGGGAAGTACCTAGCTTGGTGTGAAGTATGATACCAGCGGAGCTGAGAACAATCGCTTTTTTTTCCTTTTCTCATCGGAACGGAACTGTCCAAGGCCGAATGTCTATCCGGACTGGGCCCGACAGAAAGGGAAATGTTTGTTTCTTTGGAGTCCCTTCTTGGGTCAGTCTATGACAGGGTCTTATACGAATACCCAGGGCCGAAGAACGAGCCGCAACCTCGGTCTGATATCAGTGTCGTGATGTCCAGACTGGGTAGTAAACCCGGCACAAAGCACCTCTGTAGAGAGAGGCATGTGGGCACTCACCGTTTCCCAGCTGTCTGCGTCAAGACAATTTCCAAGTTCTGCCCTTGGCGGTATATGCAAGAAATACGGCGTGGCAGCCAACTTGGCAGCACCGGCCATCCGCCTGGTGCGAAATAGCCCGAGTCCGTTTTGATGCGAACAGGTTCTCGTCATCCGGAGTCATCGCTGCCATGGACCGGCAGCAGCAACGGTGGCGGCCATGGCATCGGCTACTGTAGCAGTATCACGGTAGTGTTTGTCTCTATCGTCGGTCAAGTCGACTCTGCATCAACATGGCCCATGAGACGACACTGATAGGCCGGTGGATCCGGGTACTGGGACCTTCAGAACGAAGACAGATGCACGAGGTCCTGCGGGAGGGTCGTGATCACCTCACTTGTTTATTCGGACCAGTGGTATGGATCTTCTGAAACGTGGGGAGGGGAAAAGGGTTGGGTTTCAAGAGTTTGGGAGGTCGTATTAGGATGTCGTTCAAGGCTGCAAAGGTATTGTCAAGGCTGGGAAGTGACTCTTGTTCAAATGTCATCAACCTCCCCCAAATAACATATCCTCAGAGAGTATCCGTATCCTCAGGCTTATAGGAAGAGAGACGGGGTTGACTGCATAGTTGTTCGTCTTTGGAAGGACGTCTGAACAAAAACTGGACCATGCTGTGCCATTGATGTTACGCAAAACTGTAGTGCGAGCAGCAGCAAGTCAACAACACCGCAACAATCAGCAGTACCTACAGTGCAGCAGTATCCGGTCTTGAGAAATTCGAGAAACAGAGTTGGTTGATCGTGGGTGGACAATGACGGTTTCGCTGTGCGTTGATGCGGTTGGCCAATACGGTACATTAAACAGCAATTGTCCCCGCGCCAGTGGCAAGATAAACCCCGGACAGAGGGCAATATTTTGTAGCGCGCTTGGGCAAAGTCACATGACTTGGTACGTACTCCAACTACGTTTTCCTTCTGACTTCTGGGCGCGGCAGGCAGCGAAACAGCTTCCCTTCCTCGTTGCTCGCTTGCAATCTCCCAATTTCCAAAGTCACAACAACGACAACAACAACAACAACAACAACTGGACTGCAACCTCTCTTGACAACAACAACAACAACAACAAAAACAACAACAACAACAACAACAACACTGGACTGCAACCTCTCTTGACAACAACAACAACAACAACAAAGCGACCACAACGACGATGATGGCAACGACATGGGTTGCAACAATGGCAACTCCCATACATATGTCAAAATCACCCCGCTATTGCATCAAAACATTCGATTTGATGGTGAATTTCCATTCGCTCAATATCCCACATTTCGAATCTCTTTTCCTGCCGATTCGTTCCTAGATCGTCTCAGGGGCCCAGAAGGCCGACTTTTGTCCAACCGCAATCCGTGGAGATGTGTGGTCCATCTGTGGTCCTTATCGGGGACCAGTTTGCCCACGAGCAACTCTCTCCAGCAGCGAGCGACTGAGCATCGAGAAATGCGAAAATTCGGTGGCTGGGACCTACAGCATGCTACACTACAGCACCGTGACCCACTAGCCGGACCATCTGCAAACTCCAACGGAGCTCCCGCATCAGCGCCGCTTCTCTCGACCACTCACCGGCGCCGTTGGACTGCCTGCCGACTTGCCCAGATGGATTGTGCCTCTGGCCGCATACAAAGAGGCCCGCATCACTGTACCCAACCCGACCAACCGTCGGCGCGATTGCTGAGAATTGGCACCGAATTGGCGCCTTTGTTGCCGTCCTGACACGGCGAGGTAGATACACCAGAGGAACCACTGGAACTACTGGAACGCGTCCCGCTCTCGGCTCGCATTTGGCTAGCATTCCGCATGCCGCACCGCGAACGATCACCGTCCGAGGGGGGCGACCTTTTGATGGGTTTTCTGCGCGGTGCTGTGTCCAGGTCTGGGCAACTCTGGGGTCACTGGCGTCCTTGAGACGGGTGCTGTGACTGGTGCCGGCGCTGTCGCTGTCTGGACCCTACAGACGACAGCAAAGGTGAGCTCCACCAAATCTTGCCGTCTGTATGCAGTTCGAGTGCTTGCAGATAGCGACAGATTCGAAAGCGTGCGACTCTGCTCCGGT